GGGAGAACAGGGCTCTCCCTGAACTGATGCTTCCTAAACTATCAGTGATCATGGTGTGTTTGTGCAAATAATCTACTAAAATCTGAAAGGATATGAAAATTGAAGAATGATCAGCAAGTGTAGGTTCAGCATCCCTGAAAGTAAGAAGCTATCAACCTTGTTCCAGACCATTCAACACCAGCGGCATTTGTTTGGAGTTGCGTGTGGATCCAGTCTGACAGTGTTCCCACAGTGCTGACAGGCAGTGTTTGTTGCATACTGTCCTTTGCTCTGCCTTACCAAGCTCTGGATTTTTTCATAGAATCCTAGAATGGTTTAGGTTGGACCAGACCTTAAAGATCATCGAGTTCCAACCCCCCTGCCATGGGCAGGAACATCTTCCATTAGACCAGGTTGCTCAAAGCCCCATCCAGCCTGGCCTTGAACAATTCCAGGAATGGGGCATCCACAGCTTCTCTGGGCAACCTGTTCCAGCGCCTCACCACCCACTCTATGCAAAATTTCTTCCTGGTATCTCATCTAAATCTACCCTCTTCCAGTTTGAAGCCATTACCTCTCATTCTGTCACTACATGCCCTTGTAAAAAGTCCCTCTCCGGCTTTCCTGTAGGCCCCCTTCAGATACTGGAAGGCCACTGTAAGGTGTCCCTGGAGCCTTCTCTTCTCCAGGCTGAACAAGCCCAGTTCTCTCAGTCTGTCTTCATAGGAGAGGTGCTCTAGCTCTCTGATCATCTTTGTGGCCCTCCGACCTTTGTGGACCCATTCCAGCAGGTCAATGTCCTTGTGCTGAGGAGTCCAAAGCTGGATGCAGTACTCCAGGTGGGTTCTCAGCAGAGCAAGTTGCAGAGGGAAATGTTTCAGATCAGTCTTTTTCCCAGTTCTGGATGCAGAGATGAAAACTTTTCAGTTGCACAGCAAAGGCAAGAAAAGCCTCTGACTGAGTGGGGAGGAAGGACTGTGGAGTACTCCCTGTGTAAATCCCTTTCTCAGCCTTGCCCAGTGGCTAAGTAGACTTCTCCGTGGTGGCCTGTCTGAAAAAGCTTTGCTGGGCCTCTGACAGTGTCCGAGGGATGAGCCTTTCAGCTTTGTCTGTGTTTGGTGCTGATCATGCTCCTGAGTAGACGGTGGGGCTGTAGAGATGGAACCTTTTTCTGATGGAGCTTCTGCACGCCCAGGCTGATGCTCCCTGGTGCAAAGGGCGGGCTTGCCATTGCTCTCCAGTAGCAACAGAGGGGGCAGATCACCCTCTGGATTCATAGCCCCAGACACTGTCTCATTATAAAGTGATCTTAACACTGAGCTTAAATTCTGAGATGGCTGTATTCTGTCACTGCAGCATTTCATGTCTAGCATCCTTTTCCCATTTGTTGTAGCTCTTCAGAGCTTTCATACTATATAGAGAAAACTCTTTCCCTCTCTAAGTGCAAAAAGGATTTTTAGCCAGTACAAGCTGCAGCTCCCTTTTTAATCTCTGCTTCAGAATTTTAGTCCTCTAGATGGCATCAGCATAAATGCAATACAATTTGTGAATTCATCACAATACAGCTCAATGCAGGCTGATTAGATGAGCATCTGCATGTTTTTCCAGGTAAGCTTTGCTGCCAGTATTGCCTCTGTACTTTCTGAAAAAGCTGATCATGCCCTTCAGCTTAGTTAATTTAAAGCCAGCTCAGACATAACTAAGCAACTCCACAGCCTTAACACCACGCTGAAGGCCACTGGTGGCAAACATTTCATGGCAACCCTGCTGTCAGTTTTCCTTAAAAGAGGTGAGGGGAAGACACCCTTTGCACTATCCATCCTGAAGCCCAAAGTTGGCATCAAAGTCAGCCCTGATGCCAGTGATTTTCTGTAGCTGTGTTAAGCTTTTGCTAGAGCCAGAAATGTCCGATTTTTCCTAAAGGTGGAGAACATGTTGTTTATGAAGAGTGAGGTATGCATGCAGCAGGATTTTGGATGGTTGATACCAAGCAAGGAACTTCTAAAACCAGACACTTGCTTTAGTCTCTGTACAACACCTCCACCCTGGAGTTTATCTTTGGAGTGTTTCGTATTAATATGTAAAAGACAGCAAAATCAAACTTCTGCATAGTAAGACGAATGTGAAGGATTTTCAGGCACTGTTTTTCCTGTCTGAAAAATGAGACTAGCAACTCACAGGTAGACCAATGGAGTTAATTGGCCTGAGTAACACACTGAGTTCTGTGGGCCAATGATCCTAAAAGTAGGAGGCAGTGTGAGTAAGACTGCAGTATTGATCTTCCCTCCATGGGCTGCAGAGTTACTGTTAAAGACGCTTTAAAAGTTTGCATGGTAGCAAGCTGGAAGTTAGAATTTTTGGGGTGTGTTGTTTGGTGTGAGAGACCCTCATGGTGTTTTAGAGAGTATTATAAGATGTATAAGCAGTGGAATTTGCGTAGCATTAAAATGCTGCTGAATGAGAACCCTTTGTGGCTCTTAATCTCTATGGTTTTCTTCCATCGCTTATCTGATCTCAGGGCTTTCAATATTCTTCACTCTTCCAGAGGGGTTCCCTGGTGTGGTAATGTAGTGGGACAGGCTGTCTATGTGTGGGGGAAAGAAACTGTATCACAACTTTTTTCTGCAATATGAAGCAGTCCATGATATGTGTCTGTTCCCTAAAGTAAATTAAATTTGAAAATAAGTTGAAAATGTCTCAAAAAAATTGTTAAGAATCCACGCTAAAATGAATGCATGCTGCAGACTTCACTTTTGCTGAAGTTGCTGTGGTTTCTGACCTCTGAATAAGGAGATTAGTTTAGGAGTAGTAGATTGTAGGAAGATACGGTTTAAAATAATATATTTACATAAAGTGATGCGTAACTTCCCCAAAAGTACAAGGCCACACGCTTGCACATGAAGCCAGTGGGTGAATTCAGGAAAGCTGACACCCTGAAGATCACAGGCATTTGGACCTGAAAAAAATCTCTGGACAGTTTGGCAAATCGTGCTCTTGCAGGAGTGGCTGGTGGGGCACCCAATAACCGCCAGCGCCTCCACTTGCTGCAAGGTGGTGCTTGTGTCCCTTTTCAGGAGATGTGCTGGGCAAAGTTTGGAGCCAAACCGGTAACTAAATCACTTGATAAGAGCACCCATAACTTTTGGAGTGAGCCTGTGTGTTGTGCTCCTGATTCAGACTGCCTTCCTTTCAATAGTCACATATATCTGCCCTCCTTGGGGTAGGCAGTCTGCTTGGCAAGGCCTGTGGTTCCAGCTGGATGAACATGATCTTCAGTCTCTAGTTCTGTGTGCTAAATTTCACTCGGAGAGGGTGCCAGGGGGGAGCGCAGCAAGAGCAGTGTGCCCTTTGCATAGGAGTGCTGGCAGCATCAGCACCTGCGGTCAGACAACTAGAAGTATGAACATGGCTTCCTCACACCTCTTCTTAGCTGTCATGACAATGTAAAATGTGTTTGCTCAGGAAAGAGAAGAATACAGTGTCCAAATTTGAATGCCAGAGTGACCTTAACAGCAGGCAGCTGGTCAGGAGCCTTCCACTGATAATTTCCCTCCCTCTTTAAAAGAAAAAAAAAAAGCATCATCATCTATGAGGCTAGCAGACTACCAGGATTGTAAAAGGCTGCCTTACCTGAGGGAGGACACTTTTAGTGCTGTGCAGTCCCCCAGCATCAGGCTGCAAACTTTGGATTCACTAAAGCCAGGAGAGAAGGTGAATGGAGACAGCTGCCTTGGTAAGTACCATGTATTGGTACAGCAGGGCTGGGCAGCTCGAGATGGGTGCTACGTGAAGAGATAGTTGCCTGAACTAGCTCTGAAGTGCTCATCTCCTGGATGAGGGCTGATTTGCTTTTGCTCTTCTGTTTTGGTGTCTCAGGTATTTAATGAGCGTTGCCGAATTCACTACAAGCCTCCGAAGAGTCAATGATGTGGGGTATTTTCCATCAAGGTGGTCCATAACCATGAGAGCCAAACTGGAAAGAGATCTTGGGTGAGCTGTATTGGGACCCTCCAGAACCAGCAGAACCCAGTCTTGTTTTGGACCTGCTTAGCTGAAATCTCAAGGTTGAAATGATTCTCCTGTAATTAAGAGAAAACAACTCCTCTTTTGTACAAAATATGTGAACAAATGAGTTTTATAGTATTAAAATAATTTTCAAATGGAAAGCAAAAGTGGCATCTTTCTTGAACTTCTACAGCTTCAGCAGTCCTAGAGGGGAGGAAACAGTAAAAACCATCTCTGAGCAGGGAGAACAGGGCTCTCCCTGAACTGATGCTTCCTAAACTATCAGTGATCATGGTGTGTTTGTGCAAATAATCTACTAAAATCTGAAAGGATATGAAAATTGAAGAATGATCAGCAAGTGTAGGTTCAGCATCCCTGAAAGTAAGAAGCTATCAACCTTGTTCCAGACCATTCAACACCAGCGGCATTTGTTTGGAGTTGCGTGTGGATCCAGTTTGACAGTGTTCCCACAGTGCTGACAGGCAGTGTTTGTTGCATACTGTCCTTTGCTCTGCCTTACCAAGCTCTGGATTTTTTCATAGAATCCTAGAATGGTTTAGGTTGGACCAGACCTTAAAGATCATCGAGTTCCAACCCCCCTGCCATGGGCAGGAACATCTTCCATTAGACCAGGTTGCTCAAAGCCCCATCCAGCCTGGCCTTGAACAATTCCAGGAATGGGGCATCCACAGCTTCTCTGGGCAACCTGTTCCAGCGCCTCACCACCCACTCTATGCAAAATTTCTTCCTGGTATCTCATCTAAATCTACCCTCTTCCAGTTTGAAGCCATTACCTCTCATTCTGTCACTACATGCCCTTGTAAAAAGTCCCTCTCCGGCTTTCCTGTAGGCCCCCTTCAGATACTGGAAGGCCACTGTAAGGTGTCCCTGGAGCCTTCTCTTCTCCAGGCTGAACAAGCCCAGTTCTCTCAGTCTGTCTTCATAGGAGAGGTGCTCTAGCTCTCTGATCATCTTTGTGGCCCTCCGACCTTTGTGGACCCATTCCAGCAGGTCAATGTCCTTGTGCTGAGGAGTCCAAAGCTGGATGCAGTACTCCAGGTGGGTTCTCAGCAGAGCAAAGGACCAGAATCACCTCCCTCGACCCGCTGGCCATGCTGCTTTTGATGCAGCCCAGGGTGCAGTTGGCTTTCTGGGCTGCAAGCTAGCATTGCTGGCTCATGTTGAGTTTCTTGTCGACTAACACCCACAAGTCCTTTTCCTCAGGGATCCTCTCAATCCGTTCTCTGCCCAGCCTGTATTTGTGCTTGGGATTGCTGTGACCCGGGTGCAGGACCTTGCACTTGGCCTGGTTGCAATTCTTGAGGTTTGCATAGGCTCACCTCTCAAACCTGTCCAGGTCCCTCTGCATGGCTTCCCACTACCAACCCTTGAGCAATGCCATTCATCACTGGTTTCCACATGGACATTAATTTGTTGACCACAGCCATTTGAGTGCAGCCATCCAGCCAGTTCCTTATCCACCGAGTGGTCTGTCCATCCATCTAATCTGTGTCTCTCCAATTTAGGGACCAGAATGTCATGCAGGACAGCGTCAAATGTTTTGCACAAGTCCAGGGAGATGAATGTGAGTTGCTCTCACCTGGTTACCCCAGTGCTGTAACCCCTCACAGAAGGTCACCAAGTTTGTCAGGCATGACTTGTCCTTGGTGAAGCCCTGTTGGCTGTCTCCTTATGTGCCTTAGCAGAGTTTCCAGGAGGATCTGCTGTATGATCTTTGCCAAACACAGAGATGAGACTGGCTGGTCTGTAGTTCTCTGGGTCTTCCTTTTATCCTTTTTTGAAAATGGGGGTTATGTTTCCCCTTTTCCAGTCAGTGGGATCTTTGTCAGACTGCCACGACTTTTTGAGTATAATGGAAAGTGGCGTAGCAACTTCATCTGCCAGTTCCCTCAGGAACCATGGAGGGATTTCATCAGATCCTATTTTCTTTAAATGGAGAGCATGGTGTTGATTGAAACCACTTGGGGCTGGAGATGAAGATACGCCTCACTTGGGAATGAAACAGTTAATTATCCAGTGACCCCATTTTGTCCCTCTTTCTGAACCTTTGAAATTAATTCTCTAGGTGAATTTTAGTTGACCTGAGAAAATACTTGTGCATACCTGATCCTAGTGATTCTGGCCATAGTGTTGTATTTAGAGAGCTTTAAATGCAACACCCCTGCAGGAACACAGCACTTAAAAGTGGGTAAGTATGAGCAAAGCAGAATTGCTGTAATTATACCTTTATTTTTTACTAGCTCTAATTGGCTGACGGTCAAATGACAAAGTTTGCTTAGCAGCCAGCTGTTTTTATTACTTAGTGATAGGGCTTTAAGAACCATTGAACTTGAACTGAGCCTTAAAAAAGAGGTCTCATCTTGCAAACCCTTTGGAATTATGTTATAGCACTGAAGTGACTGTATACTGTCACAGCTTTAAAAGCTGTGCCTCTATGGGGGTGGGAAGCAATTGGAGGAATGAACCTGTGTTGCTGAAAGATGGCAAAAATCTGTGCAGCATCATCTGTTTTATTGTTGTTTGTCCAGTGGAGACTCGGACTACTTGGTGGCCTTTATTTTTTTTAGGCAGCAGGCATTTAGTCTCACTTTTGAGAATGAGGCAGAAGTATATTCTGAGTCTTTGAGGATGTAAATCCTAATGTTCAAACTTCATTTTTTCCCAAGGTACTACAACTGCTCTAAGCAGCACTTTTCTCCAGCTGGAGCACTCCTCTTACTCTTGAAGTATTCTCATTGGTTTTCTGCAACTCTGAAAGCAGAAAACGTGTTTGTTCTTGAACTGTTAACTTCTTAAAATTGTGTATCCTCAAAGACGAAATCAAATATTGCTCAGACCTGTTGGCTGAATTGCCAGTGCCCTCATTTCCACAGTAAATGGTCCACTAATGAGGTGTAGAGAAAAGTTAGTTTTGATTTCAAAGTTGGTATTCTAATACTGACCTCTAATACATGTTTATAAAATATTTGCTGTCTCCAGGGCTTGGATCTGCAACTGTGGGGACAAATTCTCTTTTTATGCCAAATGTATGATAGAAAGTCCTGCCAGCGTGTAGAGAGTTGGCAAAAATACTCTTGATATTTAAGCTTATATTGTATTTCTGTAGAAATGTAGTCACTGTAATGAGAACTTACCACAGTCACACCCTCCCAGATGTTTGCTCAGCTTTTGTGGGAAAACTTACTCACTTAAAGAGATGCTGTGAAAAGTGATCTATGAAATAGATGTGATACATATTCAGATCTTTTTTCTTGCAGTATCCCATTTGTTATGAGAAAACTATGTATAAAAAACCCACAACCCCAACATACCCCTGTTTTTATTTGAATCGAAGCAAGTAGATCTATAGAAACCTATGTATGAAAAACTTTTGACACCATCAGCAGAGTTCTAAGTCCCAAACATCCGCTCTTCAGGTGTTTGCAGCTTGCATACAGAAGGTTGCACTAAGGAGTTGACTTCCTCTCTATTTAGTTTGCTGTGAGCACAGAGGGGTGTCTCTTACCGTACATGGCAAATCACATGGATCAGAGGCTGTTTGAATCTTGAAGTTGGTGGAACACGAAGGTGAGTAACTGGAATTGCATGCCATGCTTTGGGGAGGGAGGAAATGGTTTTGCTATTTTTTGAGTACTTAGGATGCATCTGTAAAGTAACAAAACGAAGGCAGGTAAAATCTCTGTGTTCAGTGAGCCCTGTCCACTCTTGCATCATGCGTAGTCTGCAATTTAATCTGCTTCACCTTTACCGTCAGGGTAGTCACAAGATTACTGGGCTGCTTCCTGTCATCTGTGAATCAAATAATAGACTCCACCAACAACAAGGTTTCATCCTTTTCCTGGTTCTAATTTTATTCCCGCACTTGAACAAGAAGAGCAATTGATGGCCCTGTGCAGAGTCTGGATATCCTGGAGGTGGTTTCCCCTTCTCCTGGGGCTTTCCCATTGCTTGGTAATGGTGAATGTAGTTGGGCAACTTGGACTCCTTGGAAAGTCCTCTCAAGTGTGTGCTTCTAATTTCCTTCTCTGAAATGAAGAGCTGTGTTTTTTCTGGCACTCACTGTTGCTGTCTTCTGCAGCCCATAGGCACTCAGGACTGATGAAATAGGTCATCTCTTTACAGAATTTCTTTAAGGATACAGTTTGGTTGCCTTGAAGCAGCGTGAGGGGAAAAGGCTGTTCACTGGTACCGTGGTCTCAGCATAGGCTGGGATATGACAGCTTTGTGCTGCTGATGTCAGGTTTCTGTTAATGCGTCAGAAAACTTCTGAGATCAGGGCGGGCATCAGGAGGGGAAGCTTTTTTGCAGAGCAGCATGTTGAAAGTCAAGGCTGTTGTTACTGTGACGATGACAAGTAGATCTTCAAGTGGTAGCTGGAGGGCTGCCTTCTCATAGCAGCTCTTAATATGGTGCAGACCACGTGTCGTTTCATTCAGGCAAAATTACGTGTTTTGTCACTACAAAACCAGGAGACTGACCTACTGGCTTAGCTTTCACAATTATTTGAATGGAACTGACTTCATTTCTGGTTTGAAAATAACTCATAAATACATAACCCTGGGGCTTTGGGTTTTTCTTGTTTGCTTTGGTTTGTTACTGTACTGGTGGTTTTGTTAACTATAGCTTCTGCTTCTTAAAACTGCTTATACCTGACCAGACAGTCGTGGCCTGCAAGCTGTAAAGATTTGTTTCTTCAATATTGCAGTAGTACATAGTGCAAGACGTTACTCAGCTTTAAAACTCTAAAGACCACTGGTGCTGTTCTCCCAGCACAGGTTCTCCAAGTTACCAGCAGTGGTTACGTGAAGAGAAAGCGCCGTGTGTGCGAATGGTGAGGGTAGGCTGGAGTGGTGTGTGCTATCAGGCACGTCTCACAGTAAAGGGAAGATGCCGACTCAGTTGTCGATGTTGCGCAAGAGATGGAATGGCCTCCACTGTTCTTTTGGAGGCAGAATTCCAAATGCTCTTTCATTACAGAATCATGGAATTGTCAGAGTTGGAAGGGACCTTCTAGAGATCATCTGGTCCAACTCCCCTGCCAAAGCAGGGTTGCCCAGAGCACATCACTCAGGACTGCATCCAGGTGGGTCTTGATGATCTCCAGAGAAGGGGACTCCATTACATCCAAAGCTTAATAGAAAGAGGTGCAGATAAGGGTTGCCTAGGAGAGTGCATGGCTGCAGATCATCTTTGATAGCAGTTCTGTGAAACATCAGCAGTTCAAAGTGTCTTCGTGAACTACGTGTGCGGGATGAGTGCTGCATCCCAGTCTTAGGAGTACCACTGGCTTTGGGGATGGCCAGTAGCACTGCCACGGAAAGTAAACAGACTGGTTTGCCTGAGTAAACTTTAGCATCAGTTTGCTGACAATTAGTGTTGATTTTCCTTCCCTTCTGCACAACGTTGTGTGTTCTCTGGGGAAAAAAAAAAAGAGTAGTTCTTATGCTTTGAAGTCAAAAACCAGCAAATGCAGAACTATGGAGTCCAAGGAGTGATTTCCACACAACATTAATGTCTCCTCATGAGAATAAGTCTTATGAGGAGAGGCTGAGGGAGCTGGGGGTATTCAGCCTGGAGAAGAGGAAGTTGAGGGGAGACCTTATCGCTCTCTACAACTCCCTGAAAGGAGGGTGTAGAGAGGGGGGGGTCGGTCTCTTCTCTCAAGTCACAGGCGACAGGACGAGAGGAAATGGCCTCAAGTTACACCAGGGGAGGTTCAGGCTGGATATTAGGAAAAATTTTTTCACTGAAAGGGTTATCAGACACTGGAATGGGCTGCCCAGGGAAGTGGCTGAGGCACCATCCCTGGAGGTGTTCAAAAGACGGGTTGATGTAGTGCTGGGAGGTATGGTTTAGTGATGATGCTCCTTGTTTGTTGTGTGGGTGTCTATATTTGTCAGTTAGGTTGACGGTTGGACAAGATGATCTTTAAGGTCCCTTCCAACCTAGAAGATTCTGTGATTCTGTCTTTAGTTTCGTACCTAGAGTTTTCCCAAGGTTATAAATTAACCCTCCTGGTCTCTGTGCTCAGTGTATTTCTTGTGAATCATAGTCAAGTGTTTTCCAGACGGGTGGTGCTGACTTGGGAATCTTATCAGCATCCTTACCCAGGAATTTAGTGAGATCTGCATCCTGGTGAGTGCAGAAGTTTATGAAATATCCTAATATAGCACTGGTGCTGCGTGGCTGTTGGAGGCATTCCATGGCTTCCTCGGTAAAGGTGAGCTGGCTTTTCTAGTTGGTTGCTCCTCTCTCCTGCTGTGTGAATAAGGTGCGTGGCAGCAACGTGGTGGAAGATGATCAGCATTTGAGTGAATCTGCAGAGTCTTGTGCATGAGAAGGAGGCTGAGCTCATCAGCTTGAATGGTCATTAACTCCATGAATTGGGCTGTGAGGAACTCCTCATCCGGAGTGCTGAATTTGCAGGAAAAAGGCAGACTTTCAGCTTTAACATGACCCATTCCCTTTATTCCTAAGACCTGAGAACTTGTTTCTCTTTGTTCAGGATGATGCTATCTTGAGACAACTGTTTTTCCTCAGATGCCTTTCATCCATTCCCATAACGCTGCTGTTCAAGTTTGGGAAATTCTGCAAGATCCTTATCAGTAGCATGCTCTTACCTTGATCTCTGTGTGTGCTGATGAGTTTAGGGCCTTCACAGCCCCAGTTTCTCAACCTCAGGTCCTTTGTACCAAGAACAGGCCTTGAAGTTAGATATGAAGTACTTGTTTACCATCTGTGGCACCCCTTGTCACCCGTGAGGAGGGTCGGTGGGCTGGTTAGGCCACTGATAGGTCTGTGTTACGCTGTCACCATTGCTGTGGCCATGAAAAGGCTTCTTTCTAGCAAATTCCCTGTGCTGGTACCAGCAGAAATACTGGTTGCCTGTCTGCAGCACATAGTCATTCACATTTCACCCCCTCTAAAGGTGCCCTCACCCCTAATGTGCCAGATCTGTTTGTACTCCTCCAGTCCCTGCTGTGGAACAACATGTGTGTATTTCAGCAGTGTGTGACATATAAATACCTTGAAATTTGAACATCTCTTGTGCACACATAACTACAGTAGTCAGGGGGATTGCACTTTGTCTTCCAGGAAGTCGGCACTAGAGTCGCAATGAAAATGTAAGTGGTGCTGCATGTTCATTTCTTATTGTGATCGTCTGAATGCAGCTGTAGGTTTGATAGGAAAGAAGCAGAAATAACTTATTTGCAGTATTTGCCTGAACCTAGGATTTAATTTTTTTCCCCTTCTGGTTCTGGTGTTCACCTTGGCACCTTTCTGCTGAGGCAGAGGGAAGTAAAGTCACTGGAAGTAAAATGCAAGCTGCTTCGGTTTCCCACTTGGAAGCATATTGAGATAATTCCATTTCAATCTGGATGGAACCCGCACCAAGGAAATCACTGGGTGTTTTTTTCTGATCTTGAGTGGTGTTGGGAAATATTGGGTGTGACAATTTATTTGCTAAGCACAGAGAATAGTCATCTGCACATGGGTGGAGATGCAAGAGGTGCTAGTTTCAGCCCAAACCAACTGTCTGAAGCTGTGGGTAGCTGGAGGCTGTTTTGCTTTTCTTATTGAGGTGGAGACTATATACACTTAAGATGTTAAAGTGCTTTTTACATTTAGTAGTAATATTATCGGTGCTTTACATTCCTTTTTTCCCCACTGTTTTCCCTGTTTCTCTCCTTCTCCAGTTCAGTAATGGTAGGCTCCATATGTTACATGTCACATGATCCCATGACACATGCATATGTATATATATATATGAGATGCCTGGTGACTTTGCTCAGACTGCGCTGAACTTCCCTCTTCAGAAGCACCCATCCTTTCGGAGAAGTTTCCTGCCACGATGATGACTGGGGGCTTATCTGACACTAAGCCTGCTACTCCCGAAATCCAGGATATTGCTAACAAGGTGAGTAGTGACCTGTTTCAAGGTGAAGTCTCTGAGTGCAAAGGGCTGAGTCCTGAAGCTCGTGTAAAAGCTGGGGCAGCGGGAGGTGATGTTGCACCGGTGTTTGAAGTGAAGAAGCTGGTGCTGAAAATGGGGTCCCCTTGATTGCCAGTAGGTATTTTCTCAGCATTCCCCGTAGGCAGTGCACTAGCAGGACCAAGGCAGACCACTTCTCTGTCTCATGCTTGTCCTCAGCCTGGCTACCAGCACTTAATGTCTGCATGTAGTTCAAAGACCAGCTCTCAGTATGCCAGCTCTGAGGTCGCTTGTTTGAAATGAGAGGTGGTGTCTTGGAAGGGAGAAGATTGTGCCTGGCAGAATTAATTCCTCAGGGAAGGACATGGAGAGGAGAAATGTAGAGGACAAGGCTGTGGATAAAGGGCACGTTCTGTGCTGGCATCTTGTTTTTTTCTAGAATCGCAGCTGTGATGCAGGGGCTGCTGTTGAGCCAGTTGGGGCAAGGAGAACTTGGCACAAGGCAGGCAGGGCGAGTCCAGGTGCCCTGGTGGGTGGTTCCAGGCAGCGGTCCTCTCCTGAAAGCAGCGGTGTGAGCAACACCTCTGCAGGTCCTCTGACACCCTGCAGTGCAACAGCTCATCAAATAAGAGTATGAAGTGCATTTGGGTTGGAAGGGACCTCAAAGATCATCTAGTTCCACCCCCCCTGCCATGGGCAGGGACACCTCCCACCAGAGCAGGTTGCTCAAAGCCACATCCAGCCTGGGCTTGAACACCTCCAGGGATGGGGCATCCACAACTTCCCTGGGCAACCTGTTCCAGTGTCTCACCACCCTCATAGTAAAAAATTTCTTCCTGAGATCTAATCTGAATCTTTTTTCTTCCAATTTAAAACCGTTTCCCCTTGTCCTATCATTACCCTTCCTGGCAAAGAGTCCCTCCCCAGCTCTTCTATAGGCACCCTTCAGATATTGAAAGGCCGCTATAAGGTCTCCCCGGAGCCTTCTCTTCTCCAGGCTGAACAATCCCAGCTCCCTCAGCCTGTCTTCATAGGAGACGTGCTCCATCCCTCTGATCATCTTCGTGGCCCTCTGCTGCGCCTGTTCCAGGTGGCAACGTGGCACGAGAAAGCTCCTTTTTGTGTCTCCCATCATGTATTCCCACCCTTCCAATCCCCTTCACCGTCCCAGCTCTGAAAGATGCTTTTTTTTGCCCCCTTTTTTTTTGCCCAGTCCCCTGGCAACCACACCAAGTGTAACTTACGCTCTCCTTGAGGAAACAAAAATAGGAAGCAGTGGGCCTGAACGTGTTGGCCAATTCTCCTGCACAGTCCTGTGTGTGCAGGGCTCCCAGCTCCCTCCTTCCCAGTGCCACCGAGGACAGAGTTTGTGCTGGCACCATTCCACATCTCCCACCAGCTTGTGGGCTGAGACCAGGCAGTGATGGAACCAGGGGAAGGTGAGCTGGGTGGGCTGTGCCATGCGGTGGGGCAGAGCCACAAGGAGAGAGCTGTGAATGGGCTGGGTAGGCTGGTGTTGGAGTGGAGGGTGTAATGTTTAATAGCAGATTTACTTATTTGAAGATATTTGATGTTAGAAAAGGTTTCTGATTTAGCAGAGTGATATGAATGTACTGGTAAGACAATGTAGATGGAAGTTAACTCTTAGAACAGAGCAATTGCAATACACAGCTCAATCCCAACACCAGTGTGATCTCCAGTACTGGTCTCTGTGATACCCTCACCATCATGACGGTGGGCAGCATCAGTCGCCAAGAAGGAGTACGTGGGTGGAGGCAGTTCAAGCCCACTGTTTTTTTGGTAATTGTTTTGTTTGTTGTTTAGTTTTTTGCACTCTTACGTTGGGCACTCCCCCCGTGCTGGTCTGTCTGACTCAGGGAGGTGTTGACATTGTTTTAATGAACTCAGGGAGTTATGCCACAAGTCGATCCACTCAGCTGACATATCTCTTTATCTAAAACAGACACCCTGTGGTCCCCTTGGTGTTGAGACAAAGACAGCTTCTTTGGAAAGGCTGTGGTCATTCACACCCTGCATTATTTTCTGCACATCGCGCTTGGCTCCTCTGAGCCTTCTCCCATTCTAGGGCCTTGTTGGTCAGTCCCAGTGGGGGTTGCCAGAGTTGGGTGCACACACGTGGGAGGGGGCTGAAGAATGGGATAACAGGTTGGTCAGGGGGGAGATAATGTATTGCAGAACAGAAAAGCACTGTCTAAAATTGGTTGAGGGACACCAACTGAATTACTCAGGAGCAGTATCGCCGTCCCTCCCGTGCTGGATCAAGGAGTTGAAGGAGCAGCACTTGCAGAGAATGGAAATTCCCTTTTACTGATGGAGGAGAGACCCTGGCAAGGACTTTTGGCACCTTTGTGAATTTGCAATTCTTGTTACCTTGTGTAGGACAGGAAGGTGATGATTCCTGCCAGCTGGGGGCTGTGAAATTTAACTAATGACCCTGTGAATCATAAAATCGTTTAGGATGGGAAAGACCTTTAAGATCATTGAGTCCAACTGACCCGATGCACCCCACGGTCCCTGCCGTGACACGGTGCTCCCTGAAGGGCCTCCTTTGAACACTGCTGGGACGGTGCCGGGTGCTGGATGGATATGAATAAGAATCTGAAATGTACAGATTTTCTCTTTGATTCCTGAAGAGGACTGATCTTAATTTTGGTGTTGGTCCACTCTCAGTAACTTCGGGAAAATGGCAATAAATTATTCTTCGCTCTTTATTTTCTGCAAGGTGAAATTTTTCCCTTGTGCTGGACGTGGGAGAGAGAATTCTCCCTGGTTCTTTTCTTCTGAAAAAGTGCCGGGTGCCAGGTACCAAGCTGTGTTTGGAATTGTGATTGTGCCCCTGTACTCAGCACTGGTACCCGATGCACCCCACGGTGCCTGCCGTGACACGGTGCTCCCTGAAGGGCCTCCTTTGAACACTGCTGGGACGGTGCCGGGTGCTGGATGGATATGAATAAGAATCTGAAATGTACAGATTTTCTCTTTGATTCCTGAAGAGGACTGATCTTAATTTTGGTGTTGGTCCACTCTCAGTAACTTCGGGAAAATGGCAATAAATTATTCTTCGCTCTTTATTTTCTGCAAGGTGAAATTTTTCCCTTGTGCTGGACGTGGGAGAGAGAATTCTCCCTGGTTCTTTTCTTCTGAAAAAGCTCACGCTCCACACTTGGCTATAGTTAGTTCTCTGTGGAAAATATTCTTGTGGAGACAAACCTTACATTGGGGCAATCCTGCTCCGCTTCCAGCCAGATAACGGAGTCACCCTTTAGTGATGCAATTCTGTGGCATTTTAACGGGCATTGGAACAGGCTGCCCAGGGAGGTGGTGGAGTCACCATCCCTGGCTGTGTTTAAGGGCCATTTAGATGCAGTGCTAAGGGACATGGTGTAGGGGAGGACTTTGTAGAGTAGGGGAGATGGTTGGACTCGATGATCCCAAGGGTCTCTTCCAACCTGAATGATTCTATGATAAATTATTCTTTGCTCTTTATTTTCTGCAAGGTGAAATTTTTGCCTTGTGCTGGGTGTGGGAGAGAGAATTCTTCCTGGTTCTTTTCTTTTGAAAAAGCTCACGCTCCACGCTTGGGTATAGTTAGTTCTCTGTGGAAAATATTCTTGTGGAGACAAACCTTACGTTGGGGCAATCCTGCTCCACTTCCAGCCAGATAACGGAGTCACCCTTTAGTGATGCAATTCTGTGGCATTTTAAGATCTGCTGAGCAGAGAAGCAATTAGTATGATCTGAGCAAAGTCATTAAGAGCATCTGCAGCCTTTGGGATGCCCGAGGTCTATCTGCTCTTGGGATTACAAAAGTTTTACTTACACCTGTGCCTTGTCTGAGTCGTCCTTAGCGAGCTGAGGAATGATATTTATTCAGTTTCCTTGTTTTACAGCTGTTGCCCAAAACTTTGGAATGGTTTAGGTTTAAGGAGCTGTTAGAGAAGAGCTTAGGGATGTTACATTTTTCCATCTGAGGATTAAGGAGCTGTTTGCCTGCCTGATTTTGCTGAAGACTCTCTGTAAATAACAAATGGGTGATGTAGTGGTCAAAGGTTAGAAGAGATTGTAAAACTGGAGAGAAGTGGCTTTGGTTTGTTTTATTCTGAGAGAGGAATAACGTAGGAAGAGGTACCCAAAGTTGCCACTTAGGGGCATCCTAAGAGCCCCCAAAACCATCCTGTTGGAAGAGGGTTGGGAATTGAAGTTTCCCTGGTTTGCCAGAGGTAGCAGCTCCCGAGCTGTCAGTTCCCAGGGACAGAAATCCCGTGGAAACTGCTTGGGAGAAGGGCAGAGCAAGAGATTCTGAGGAGCCTGACTATGACTGTAATTTCTGATGGTGAGGAAGTAGTCCAGCTGGATGTTTCAAGAGTCCTTTCCGGGACCTGCCTGCCAGGAAGGAACGCCGTGGGAGTGGCAGCCAGGCTGTAGGTGAATGTTTTGAGGAAGTTAATTAATTCTGTGCGTTCCTGCGGGTGGTGAGAAGCGCTGCCGGCCCGTCCCAGGGGCTGCCTGAGCTCCTCTGCCCGACCTCTGGAATGTCCCTGCCCTGCATCGGGCCATGCAGAGGAGAGGCTGTTACCCAGCCTGCAAAACATTGTTTATGCTTTCTAGATGTCAGAAATTCAGGTTACATTCACTGCCATTGCCTTTCTGTAGGGAATTCATGTCATCGGATGCAAACGGCTACAGTAGACCACTGGTACATAGATCATGATCAGGAGAACCTCTTACACCTTTTTTTAATTTTTTTTTTTCAAATATGCATGTGGAAAGCCTTTAGATGTGTAAGCTGTGCACATTTTAAGATCCAGAGGGCTTAAACTGGGCACTGTGCATAAAGACATCTACCAGAGCTGTCTTCTGTTTCTTCTGGAACTACCTGCAGCTGCTACATAGTGAAGACCAGTTGATGTTTCTGCAGGTCTGGGCTTGATTGTGGCTCACAATCTAAAGGTCATACTTCCAGTTTGGGGGGATGGAAGTACAGAGTTCAGTCCTGGACCTTTGTAACTATTAGAGTTGTTTGTGTGTTACACGGTTCTAGATGTTTAAGGAGGTATTTAGTTTGAATTCCCTCTTTAGCTGCAGGGCTTCCACCAGCACTAGAATAACTTTCAGGAACTACTTGATCAGGTGGTTGTCTCGATACGCTCAAATAATCACATTTATTGCAAGTCCTTAAAGAACCATGTTGAAGAGATGGAGTGTAGCTCTGAGGCTGTGAAACATAACAGGGCTCCACAGCCCCCCAGCTGCCACCAGCATGGATGCGGGTGTTCCAGGCGAGAGGGGTTGTCTTGCACCGCTGTGTCATGGTGTGGTTGGCATGGGGTTGACATGGGGTTGACCCTGCTGAGGAACATGGCTTGGTACCTGGCTCCTTTGACCACAAATGAAAAGGGCAGCAGGTGGTCCTTTCCCTGAGTGTGTGTGGGACAGTTTAGCTGCACAGCTTTTGGGGTGGGGGGAAACCCACTAGGACATGTCATTCTTTTTGAAAGGTTTGAAAGAACACTGGAGGCAATGCTAGGAAAGAGGGCTGGAGATCTTGCTGTAATTTGAATTATTTTGGGGGTTCTGGGTTTATTTCATTAAGGAGACGTATGTGAAGGGATAAAAATTGGAGTGTTAGATGTGTGAAAGAAAAGTTTAAATATGAACCTGCCAACCGTTTTTCCCTTTCTCTTTACAGGTGAAGCCACAATTTGAAAGCAAGGAAAACAGAACATATGGAATCTTCAAAGCCATAAAGTACAGGAGTCAGGTGGTTGCTGGGGTAAACTACTTTATAAAGGTTTGTATATATTATATTATATTATATTATATTATATTATATTATATTATATTATATTATATTATAGGAGGGAATGCTTTGTAGTTAAACAGTATAGGTGACTTGTGTAGTGGCTTCTAGCAAGAAAGAGGAGCAAATGTAGTAGAAAACCATCTGATGTGACTAAGGGAGTTAGGGACTATCTCCAGATGCTTACGAAATTCCTCTGCTTGGCACTACTGTATTTAAATATAAATATATAGGAATATAAAAAACTTATAAAACATGCACTGGGCTTCTTCAGATGTGAATAATAACTTAGAATCATGGAATCGTCTAGGTTGCAAGGGACCTTTAAGGTCATCAAGTCCAGCCATTAAGCTAAGGCTGCCAAAACCACCACTAAACCATGTCCCCGGCACCAGGCCACCCCTCACCAGCTTCGCTGTCCTTCTCTGGACACGCTTCAGCACCTCAATGTCTTTCTTGTAATGAGGGGGCCCAAACTGGACACAGTATTTGAGGTGGGGCCTCACTAGTGCCCAGTACAGGGGGGATGATCGTTTCCCAAGTCCTGCTGGCCACACAATCTCTGATGCAGGCCAGGATGCTGTTGGCCTTCTTGAGGTTGAACCTCATCCCATTGGCCTCTGTCCATCCATCCAGCCTGTCCAGATCTCTCTGTAGAGCCTTTCTGCCCTCAAGCAGGTCAACACTCCCACCCAACTCGGTCTATTCTGCAGGCTTACTGACAGCTCACCTGATCCTCTCGTCCAGGTCGTTGATAAAGGTACTAAGGAGAACTGTCCCCAGTACTAAGGCCTGGGGAACACCACTTGTGAGCAGCCACCAAGTGGATTTAATTCCATTTACCAAAATTCTTTGGGACTGGCCATCCAGCCAGTTTTTTTAAGAAGTGAAGAGTACTCCCGATCAGGCCATGATCAGCCAGTTTCTCCAAGAGGATGCTGTGGGAAACAGTGCCAAATGCTTTACTGAAGTCTAGGTAGACAACATCCAGCAAAGGCTTTACTGAAGTCTAGGTAACATCCACAGCCTTTCCCTCATCCACCAAGCGGGTTGCCTTGTCCTAGAATGAGATCAGGATTGTCAAACAGGTCCTGCCTTTCATGAGCTGTGTGATGACACTCAAGATGATCTGTTCCTTCCCTGACACTGAGGTCAGACTGACAAGCCTGTAGTTCCCCAGATCCTCCTTCTGGTGGATGGGTGTCATATTTGCTAATCTCCAGTCAAGTGGGACCTCCTGGGTTAGCCAGGACTGCTGATAAACGGTGGAAAATGGCTTGTTGAACACTTCCTCCAGCTCCCTCCGTGCAAGTGAAGGCCAGGAAGCATTGCTTAGTGGCCAGTTGGCTTTCTGGGCGTAGAGTGACCGTCGCATGTGACTGCTGTACCTTCACCCCCATGTGTGCAGCCATACGCCTGGTGGGACGTGCTCCCCTGGCAAGTGTCAGAATCTTGTTAAAGAGATTGGCAGGTAGGGCTTGGGGGCTAGTCATTCTGCAGAGAGACATGAGAAGCGTCTGCTCCACGCTTCTCCTATTCAGTTGATCCCAGGAAGGACAGACGCTGCCAAACCTTCTTTCTTTCTCGGATCCTTCCCTAAAATAACTCTTAACAGTTATTTCTGCTCTGTGGGCACCAGAGGATTTTGCTGACAGACTCCCTGGTACATGGCTACTCTGAGTCTGACATGAATGATGTTTATCCTTCCCTTGCTCCCGTGAGAGGCGCTTTTCACTTTGTGGACAAGGTAGTGAGTCATGAGGAGTAACAATCTTCAGGAGGGCTGCAGGAAAGCCACGCTGGGTTGCATTTCTCCCCTTAGTGCCATCCTGTGAGCAAGACAATGCAAACCGCTCCTCTGCTGTCCCTGCAGAGCCTCGTGACCCAACCACTGGGAAATGAAGAGCCCCATGTTACCAAACTTGGAGGAAATCCATGTAGAACACTGAAATCTGATGGTTTCTCTCTTCTTTCCCAGCCTTGGAGGCGACAGGAGACAGTTGCTCGTTACAGCATGAGTGGAAGGAGCTCTGCCACAAGAGTCATCCTTTTGCACTCCCGAATTTTCCACATGACTAATATTTTACCAACAGACTTAGAGCCCAGATGTAACCCAGACTGATGCATTTGCTGTAATTCTGAAGACAAGGGAGCCAGGCTTTCAGGTTGTCATTGCTTCTTGGGACCATGTGCTGGTTTTGGATAGATCTTTGGATTGACCTTCTAGGAGCTGACACTGTCTCTGTACCTTGCCCCACCACTGACTCATTAAGATTTACTCCTTGTCTCCTCTTCCTGAGCGTCCTGCAAAGCTGTAAGCTGATGTGCTGGGCTCCTGGTGACCTAAACAGGACACCATCAAAACCTTTCTCCTGTTTGCCTTCTGGTGCTTTCACACCCAAGAAGTTCTACTCATTTCCCATTCATTTCTCTTCAAGAGTAGACAGTTTCTGCCACCAGTTACTATCCAGACTTAGTTAAGAGCTGTTGAAGTAAAAATGGAGAGACAGCTAAAATTAAGGTCCTGAGCAAAGATGAACGGCCTCAAGTTGCACCAGGGGAGGTTTAGATTGGATATTAGGAAAAATTTCTTCACAGAAAGGGTTATCAAGTATTGGAATGGGCTGCCCAGGGAAGTGGTTGAGGCATCATCCCTTGAGGTGTTCAAAAGACGGGTTGACATGGTCCTCAGGAATATGGTTTAGTGATTTTTCGTTGCTTATCTCTTATTTTTTTTGTCAGAGTTAGGTTGATGGTTGGACTAGATGATCTTTAAGGTCCCTTCCAACCTAGACGAGTCTATGATTCTATGAATGTAAAAAGCATCCTTTTGTTTGAACCTGCTTCACCCTGATCCTCACTTTCCCACCGTTTTGGTTTCTAGGTCCAAGTTTCTGACACCAACTATGTCCACTTACGGGTGTTTGAGGCCCTTCCTGTTGAAAACCAAGGTCTCAAACTTGAAAGCTTTCAGACTGGCAAAACCAGAGATGATCCCATTGAATACTTCTGAGAGACGATGAGGAACGGCACCTCGCTTCTGCAAGTCACAAGTGGATTCTGCCCGTGTCAGAAAAAATGCATGACAATAAAATAAGTTTGGAAAGCTATTTGTTGATCTGCTGCGTGTCATGTCTAGGTCTGCTGCCCGGCTAAAGCTTGAGTAGGCCCTGAAATACTATTCAAGGCTGTTTCCACCACCTGAGGTACTACAGGTGTAAGGCAGAGCACACCTCTTTCAGCTTCTCTTCCCCAAAACACTCTCAGGCATGCTCTGGCAAGGGGGAATGGAGAAACCAAACTGCCCCCCTCCCCCAGTAAGAGCAGGGTCAGGGGCAGGAAGGACCTCCTGAAGGAGCCCGAAAGAGCTGAATCCCTGCATTCAGCCCCTGGAGCCGGGGGTGACTGCCCTGGAGGCCAGAGCTTTACTGGAGACCAGTGGAGCTCAATACCTTTTTTTTTCTTTTCTATTTGTAGCATCAGCCACCTGCAATGAGAGCCATACTCTGGAGAGTAAGTCTTATGAGGAGAGGCTGAGGGAGCTGGGGTTGTTCAGTCTGGAGAAGAGGAGGCTGAGGGGAGACCTTATCGCTCTCTACAACTCCCTGAAAGGAGGGGGCAGAGGCGGGGGTCGGTCTCTTCTCCCAAGTCACAGGTGACAGGACAAGGGGTAATGGGTTCAAGTTGCACCAGGGTAGGTTTAGACTGGACATTAGGAAACAATTCTTCACAGAGAGAGTGGTTGGGCATTGGAATAGGCTGCCCAGGGAGGTGGTTGAGTCACCATCCCTGGCTGTGTTTAAGAACCGTTTAGATGTGGTGTTGGGGGATATGGTGTAGGGGAGTACTTTAGAGTAGGGTGGATGGCTGGACTCGATGATCCCAAGGGTCTCTTCCAGCCTAGATAATTCTGGGATTCTGTCTTCAGCTGAGCTCTGAGGTGACAAAGGTTGAGGGCAAACCCAATCCACCACCAAAACACCTTCCTGTTAGCAGCTGCTCAGTTAAGGGGCCTTTGCCCAGAACAGGGGACAGCACGCCCCATGTGGCCTCCTCAGTGCTGAATGGAGGGTGGGAGGGAAGACTGACCTCTGGTTCTGCTGGCAGTGCTCTTCCTAATGCAGCCCAGGGATCTCAGTGGCCACCTTTGCCACAAGATGTCACACAGGGTAACTCCCAGGTCCTCCCCAAAGCTGCTTTCCAGCCTCCCAGGCCTCGACTTTCTGAGCACAGCACTTCAGCTGGCAGTCCACGTACCTACACCTGCTTCATCAGTTTGTCCATGAGGAGGTCATGGAAGACACTATCAAAAGCCTTACTAATCTCAAGGTAAGTAACACCCCAGCTCTTCTCTCCTCTCCCAAGCCCTGCTGACTCCTTTCACTCACCTTCTTGTCCAGAATGTGTTTGGAAACGGCTCCCAAAATTATTTGCTCCATCACCTTTCCAGGGACTGAGGTGAGGCTGATGACCATGCAGAGCTCCAGATTCTCCTTCTTGAACATAGGAGTGACGTTTTCTTTCTTCCATTCGTCGGGAGCCTCCCCTGATGCTCGTGACCTTTCAAAGGGTGCTGAGCGTGGCCACGCAACGACACCAGCAGCTCCCTAAGCACCCATGGGTACACACCCTCCAGTGCTGCAGCATTGCCCAAGTCCAGTTGGTTTAAGTGTTCCCCTACCCTGACCCAGCTCCACCGAGGGAATTCTTCCTTTCTCCAGCCTTTCACGCTCATCTCAAGGGCCTCAAATTCCTGAAGGCAAGTTCTACCAGTACAGGCTGAGACAAAGGCAGCTCCGAGCGCCTCAGCTGCTTCTGTGTCCTCTGTCAGCAGGTTGCCCAGGTTTTCCTTAGGGTTCCTTTTGCTGCTGATGCACTGACAGTAGCCTTTCCTGTAGCCTTCCCTGTCCCTCGCCAGTTAAACGAGTTTCTAATTAAAACGCGGAATAAGCGTAAGATTATCTGGAACAAGAGGAACACTCATGGAAAATAAAACTGAGCACAATAATCACCAATACTGAAAACCACTAAAAAGAAGCCATGAAACACCAGCCCAATATGCCATCTCAATTCAAGAGAAATATTTATTGTTATTAATGCAGAAACACTTGTCCAGCTCAAGTTCCTTTCCAAGACTTTTCTTTAGGACTGAGAAAATAAGCAAGTAGGGTTTTTTTCTTTAGTTTTTAACTCACACACCCTCTACTGGACATCACATCCTACCGCTGCAAGAGGATAGACATGATTTGCAAGGGAATGCTTGTTTCAAAAGACCCTAATCTTTCTCTTGCTTTCAAAATTGCTTCAGCTCAAGTCTCTCTTCAGGTCTTTGCCAATAAAATACCTCGTACAACGTCAACCTACAGATATATTCAGAGTTGTGAAACAGCACAGAAAAGATCCTGGTTTTCCTCTTGGTCCTTGCTGTAAATCCGTGAGTGCTGCTGTCACTCCCCTCTCAACTTCCAGACCAAGGAATTCCACAAACTGGACTCAGCCACAGTTTTCCAGTTAAGTTGCACCAAAGTCAGTGCAGCTACTTGGGGTTTGCATTAGTGCAGGTGAAAGGAGAGCTGCCTGACTCTACAAATACAGGTATTGCACAGGAAGGGAACGGCATAAAAGAAATTGATTTTTTTCCAGCATTAAGTTTAAAAAAAAAAAAAAAGACACTTTCTGTTCTCCTTTGTTGGCACAGGAATCAACATTTTGCAGCCTACAGAAAACCCACAGAAGAAACCATTAGGAAAAAGCACAGGATAAGGTTTCTAGAAAAAAGTCAGTTCGTCGTGCTTAGCCTTGCTGCTCTGGTAACTGTGGAGACTCAGGGGCTTGTTCTCGTGAGGGAGGCTTCGGAACACCCGCAGGTGCACGAACTCATCATTGCCAACATGGACCTGCAAAGCATGAAAACCAGTGAGTTCCAGGGGTGGTGTAGGTCGGTGTGGTTTCGAGGACGGAGAAGCAGAGAGGCAGTAAGGAAAACTGTCACCTCAAAAGGTTTTAAGCCAGACCGGGGGTCATGACTTTGTGGAAATGCCACCTAATCATTCTACGCTTGTTAATCCTCCTTATGCCTGAAATAGGGAACTTACAGGTAGGGATCTGAAGCTGCAGAGAAGTGATTAATAAATTAAATACATGCAAAACGCTCTAATCTTATCTGGCACAACAAGCTCTTCAATGCTTTGATCACTGGTGCTCGTGTTTTGTGTTTGGCATCCCTGCAGGCAGAGTCGGAGCAGGTTTGATACCGCACTGTATCCTTACACATCTTGACTTCACTTAATGTTAGTGCTCAACATCACAGATGGGTAATTATCCCCAAAACCAAGTTTCACAAACTAACTGAAAAAAACCCAAGCCTGAAAAGTCATTATGCAAATAGAGAAGTACTCTCATCTCCACTTAATACAGGCAGGGAGATGGGCTCGGAGGTGAAGAGGGGGCTGGATTGTTTTGGTTATTTTGTTTTTTTAATGTACAGATTTTTTTCTTATTAAGGCCAAATCATTAGCATCAGTCTGTAGGTAAGTAAAGAAAAAAGACCACCATTCCAAATATTATACAGACTAATTAAGAAAAAAAAAGAACCCAGTGTCATCTACCTTGATGAAGTAGTTGGTTCCAGCAACCACCTGAGTTTTAAACTCCACTGCAGTGAAGACATCAAACGTTTTCCCTTCTTTTTCTTCCAGCTGAGGCTTCACCTTAAGGAAACAACAGGTTATTAAAGACTGATGCAAGATTCAAGTATTTAATCACCCACACTATCAGTGAGCCTCACTACCCTCCAGGTCACTGCCGCTGAATTCCCAGACACAGAGTTCCTGCTTTTCCAAGTTATTAGAAGATAAAAATGAATAATGTTAAGTTTTGTGTTAAAGCAAGACCAGAAATCTAGACAGGCAGCAAAGCCAAGACAGCAGATTGATTCAGTCGCCACAGCCTGACACCAAGTCTGAAGCCTCCAACAGAGAACCCCGTGGGTATTCTGAAAGATTTGACAAATTATTTCCTCTATTGATGTCTCAGCTTCCCCTTCTGTCCTGTATATTTAACAACAAATGTGAAGTGCTTCAGTATCTACACGCACAAGACTACGTATCTTTTTAAAGAGAAGTTTTTAATATACATCATTCTTAGAAGAAAAAAGGAGCTCTTTGCCATTAGCTCCCTTTTCAATTTCAAAACAAATCATTACAGACCCAGCATCAGAGAACAGACAGACATACAAAAATCAAGCTTTGAATCCAAACTCTGAGGTTTTACAATACTTATCTGACAGTCCTTCCAGCACCTCTGCTGGAATCAATAAAGTTTTCAAACTGCAAAGTACTTCCCAAAAAATAACCATAAAGCCTTCTGAGTTATCGTCCCAATTTCCAGAGCGTAAACCCGCAGCTCATGAAGTCAGAGTAACTCATCCAATACCCCTGAGGGAGGCATGAACCCATATGAGTTGCAGCTCGTATTTCCCACACTTGGCTCTCTAGAACCCCACGGCCAAACAGTAAAATTCTGGGTCAGGAAAGCAGATTTCAGGTTTTGTTTACAAGGGCAATAAGAATTAGTCTTGGGAGTCCTTGCTGTAAGCTCTGTTCTACCCAGAAGGCCTCACCTTCTGCACTGCATCTTTCTGGAGCCCTCCCTCTGCTCCCAGAGCAACATCACCCGCAGTGAGTACATTTTCTCTTTCCAACTATAAGGTGTACTTCCTTTTCTTCCTAAATTCAAGTGTATGAATACATTTGCTATCCTGCCTGAATCCCACCTGCTTCCTTGGGGCAAAACAAGTGCCAATTTGCCACCGCTCAGGCGCTCTAGGTGAAGCAGGAACAGAAACAACTCCTGCAACAGTGTATGTTCTCCCACCTCTCCAGCACCGAGAAGGTGCAGGACCAAACTCTGGTGCCTTTCCAAGACAGCTGATCAGTGACCATCCTGCCCCTGGGGGCTGTGACCATCTTGTACATCTTATATTTCAGTTGGAAGGGACCTTCAACAACCATCTAGTCCGATGCTTTTGTACGGGTTGTTTTTTTTTGCCACATGGAAATCAAAGTGCCCCCAACAACTTCACATTCTGAGATGCAAGGGAGGGCACAGCCCCAAAAAGCGCAGTGATTCAGTCCTCCCTTCTCCCCTCCCCCTGAGTCAGAAGATGGAGCAAATGGTTTTATTTCCACCACTAGAGCTATTACAAATTTCAAGAAGCAGAGGAGGGGAGGGCAAATAAGCATCCCCCTGACCCTGTCCTGTCCCATGCTCCCTTAGTAACCCTAAGCGCTGTGCAAGGTGGGTTCCTTAAGTCCCAAAATCTCCCTGGCTCAGCACATTTTGTATTTCCACCAGAAAGCTGAACGTGGGGCTCCATGACTGCGGACAGCTCAGGGTGGCATGTGGCTGCAAGCTCCTCAGGGTGTTACCGTGGCAGTGACTCACCACAGCATGTGACAAATGGGCATCTGATCCACTGTGGAGAGGGAGAGCCCAGAGAGACTCTCTGAAAGACCTGATACCGGCCCACCCTGCTAGCTCATGGTCACCATTCCTCCCTATACTCAGCACTGGTGAGGCCCCACCTCGAGTACTGTGTCCAGTTTTGGGCACCTTACCACAAAAGAGACATTGAGGTGCTGGAGCGGGTCCAGAGAAGGGCAACGAAGCTGGTGAGGGGTCTGGAGAGTAAGTCTTATGAGGAGAGGCTGAGGGAGCTGGGGTTGTTCAGCCTGGAGAAGAGGAGGCTGAGGGGAGACCTTATCACTCTCTACAACTACCTGAAAGGAGGGTGTAGGGAGGTGGGGGTCGGTCTCTTCTCCCAAGTCACAGGCGACAGGACTAGAGGAAATGGCCTCAAGTGGCTCCAGGGGAGGTTTAGATTGGATATTAGGAAAAATTTTTACACTGAAAGGGTTATTAAGCATTGGCATGGGCTGCCCAGGGAAGTGGTTGAGACACCATCCCTGGAGGTATTTAAGACGGGTTGACATGGTGCTGGGGGACATGGTTTAGTGATGGTTTTTATCAGAGCTAGGTTGATGGTTGGACTAGATCTTAAAGATCCCTTCCAACCCAGACAATTCTATGTTTCTATCTGGATCTGGGAGTGAACAGTGCACTGAACACGAGCCAGCGTTGTGCCCTGGTGGTAACAGAGGTAACACCATACCGGGCTGCATCAGCAGGAGCCTAGCCAGAGGGGAGAAGAAGTCTCAGCACTTGTTAGAGCACATCTGGAATACTGCATCTAGTTTTGGGCCCCCAATACAAGAAAGATGTCAATAAGCTGTAGCGAGCTCAGCAGAGGGCCACCAAGAGGTCATACGGCTGGAGCACTTGTGCTGTGAAACGAGGAAGAAAATGAGCTTGCTCAGCCTGAAGAAGAGAAGGCTTTGAGGAAAGCTTCCCAGTACCGACAAGAAGCCAGGCTTCTTTACAGAAGGGCAGAAGAACGAGACCCAGTGGTCATAAATCAAAACTGGAGGTTCAGACTGGATGTGAGGAAAACATTTTTCTCAGAGGACACTCCTGCAGTACAGCAGGTTGCCTAGAAAAAAAAATGTGCAGTTTCCATCCTTGGGAGGTTTTCCAAGACTTGACTGGATAAAGCTGAGAGCAGCCTGGGGGTGCTGACCCTGTGCTCTGCAGGAGGTGTGGTCCCTTCCCACCCAAACAACCTGTGATTCAATCACAGGGCTGGAGATTGTCACGCCCTGGAGGCTCTCTCCTGTTCTGCATGGCCTGGTTGCTCACTCCCAGAGCAGTTACTAAAAAGCAGATGGTTCAAAAATCACCCTGACCAACCTCTGCCACAGCTGCCAGGGAGAAGCCAAGGGCTGAAGAGGCCGGGGTGGAAATCCTTGGTGTGGAGAAGGAGTTCCTGTGGGAGTCTGAAGCCAGAGAGACTGTCCAGGGAAGCTGTCCTGCTCTGTCTCACCCTGTACCTGCTCTGGGCAGCTCTTGCCAGCACCACGAATCTCAACCACGTTCGGACGCCGCTGTGATTCTTACGAAACAATACAATGGAAACAAGAACTGGAAAAGCAGGAACAGAAACTGTATTTATAGCAAGGAAACTGGCAGGCTCTAACAAATCTCGACAAAGATCTGATTTTAAGCAAACAAAGTAGTTTTAGAAGTCTACCTTGATTTAAGAAAACTAACGTTTCCTTCACAGTTTATGTCCAGATACGCATAGGGCTGCAAGGGCAAATTGCAGTTTGGGGTTTTTCCACGTCTATTTAATTAAATAAAGTACTTTAAGCCGGCAGTCAAAACAAGCTGGACAAACTTTGAAATATCTAGGTGATTTAAATGAAAACGCCAGATTTTTGGTTAATTCCATTCACGCCTGAATCCAAATGGGTTTTGTTTTTATTCTTCATCTTACATTTGGACTACCAAAAACCACTGCGGTCTGCCACAGAATGGGAATTCAGCATTTTAAACAAGTCTAGTTTTCAGTCCATATGCAACATTAATTGCATACTCACGTTATCTTTAACACGACACGTAGGCCTTTTCAGGTCAAAACAATAACTGTGACTCTCAGCAATTCTCAGTAATGTACTCACTACTGCGAACTTAGGTTAATGCTTAGGAGATGAACATCTCTTCTTTTTTTTTTTTCTTTAATGCAAAATCATCAGATTCTACAAGCTAAACATTCATTTCAATGACTGTTCTGCCTTTGGGTGCTTTGGACATGTTTAGAAACTGCTGCAGCCTAGGGAACAAATCTGGCTGTCATCTGACAATGACAAAAAGCTTAAGAAGCTGGAGCTCGTCCTTCATCTTCCTTCAGTGGCTTGACACACCCTAGCTGATAAAACCAAAAAGCAGAAGGAACTTGAGTTCAAATGTGTAACTGAAAGGATTAAGGGCGCCTTTCGCAAATACAAGCAGAAACAAACAGTGAGGAGTACCATCAGAAAGAACCTGTTTACAAGCCTACAAAATAAACAGAAGCTTCTGCTTGTGAAAGCTTCTGCATTTACCTTCCCCAATCCACTCCAAGAGTTCTCAGCACAAACCAGCCACACTGATCAAACAGAAGGACATTCCAAGTCAAGGCCTCCAAGAACCACCAAGAACTCACCGAGACTTCACTCCTGAGAGACCACCAAACACCGCTAGGGACCACCCAAGACCTCCCATGAAGCCCCTAACAAGAGTTCTCAGCACAAACCAGCCACACTGATCAAACAGAAGGACATTCCAAGTCAAGGCCTCCAAGAACCACCAAGAACTCACCGAGACTTCACTCCTGAGAGACCACCAAACACCGCTAGGGACCACCCAAGACCTCCCATGAAGCCCCTAAGGGACCTCATGCGCATGTGCCGGGGTGATTTGAATATTATAATGAGTTCTGGGAGATGTAATGGCTACACACATTCTGTCTAAACCAAGTCTCTGTGAATCTTGCATTCCGTGGACACGTTGGGTGGAGAGATCCCCCATGTTCCCGGTGCCGAACAAAAGAATGCCTGCTTCTTACGACTACAGTGGTGTTACACCGAAATTCCCGATTTCAGTGACACCATGTCAGATAGAAGGCCTTGTGCTTTGAAAGAAGAGCTTAGTGGTACACAGGCATTTTTAGAGCAAAAGCATCTGCTCTATTAACACAGGCAGTAATTGAAGTTACTGTAAGTAGCATCAGGATTTGGAGTTGGCAGTGAGTTGAATTCTGCTTTGGGGAACAGCAGAAGCAGCAGAGAAGTTTTCTTGCTTATTCCTCCCACAGAAAATAAATAAACATGGCTACAAGGTTTAGTCTTTACTGTAAGAATCATAGAATGGCTTGGGTTGGAAAGGAACTTAACATTGAGTTCCAGCCTGCCTGCCCTGGGCAGGGACACCTCCCACCAGACCAGGTTGCTCAAAGCCCCATCCAGCCTGGCCTTGAACACCTCCAGGGATGGGGCATCCACAGCTTCTCTGAGCAACCTGTTCCAGTGCCTCACCACCCTCACAGGAAAGTATTTCTTCTAATTTCTTCCTAATGTCTGATCTAAATCTATCCTCTTTCAGTTTAAAACTCTTTTAAGAGCCACCCGAGCTCCTTCCTCAGGCTCAAGCAGAAAGTGGACCTTTCAGAGGTGGGACATGGGTGGGCTGCCCGGTGGCTCTGTGGCGATGCTGACAGGCAGCACATCACCTGCAGAGCCAGGGACGGAGCTGGAACCACCTTGGCTGCCCCTGAGCTCTCTAAATCCCCCTAAAACGCCCTTTTTTAACCCTGAACCTGCTCCGCCGGGAGTCAGTGAAACTACGCAGGGCCAAGCAGGGCTCCAGAGACACAGCGAGCGCTCACCGCACCTACACGGCCTCTCAGGATCCTGCTTTTTAAGCTGAGGAGGGGGAAAAAAGGCGTCTCCGCCTTCGGCTGTGTAAAACAAGGGCCAGACACCCCCGGGGGCCCTCAGCCACCCCCGGCACCGCGACCGCCGCGCTCAAACCTACGGCCTCCCCAGCGAGCAGGCCTAAAGCCGGCAGCCTCCCACCACCGACAGGCCGGGCGGGGGAAGAAGCCCCGGGAGACCCGCCGTCCCGCCCCAGCCGCTCCCAGCACCCGCCGCCGGGCCCTTCCCCTGCCCGGGGGTTCCTCCCCGGGGCTTCCCCCCGCCGCGGGCCCCCCCTCACCTCATCCACCATCTGCTGCGTCTCGCCGGTGGCGGGCCGGGCCGCCGAGGTGCCCCCGCACAACATGGTGGCAGCCGCTCCCTTCTGCTTCCCCGCCGCACCGCTGGGCTTAGGAGGGGCCGGGTCTGCCGGCGGGGCGGGACCGGGGCCGGGCCTGTGCCCAAGGGCGGGGGCTCCAAACCCGCGTTGGGGCCTTCCCAGCTGTGAGGCGGCGGGCGGGGAGCGGCCTGTGCCCCCCCCCCCCCCC